TGACTCAGATTCAGTCTTCTATCTGTAAAATAGGAATAATATTTTCCAGATATGCAAAAAAAAAAAAGTTCTCTAAAGTTAGTGAAGTGCAGATATTTGAGATAATTCCTACAAATTAACAGATGAAAACACTTAAGCATTCATGAAAGATGTGGATGTATACAGCAGGTAATAAGGCAGCAGATTGCACAACGAATGACAAAGAAAAACAAATACATAAAACAAGTTATAAGGGTGTATCTGTCAGCTGGCATTTCCCATGCACTGTATGCGGTACTGAATTGGGCTGTGAAGGTAAGGGGGAATACAATAATACAGTTAAAGTCCCACCATATAGAGAAGGGGGCTGGATTACGTTTGTTTCTTTAATCTCAGTCTGATGTTTCCTTATCTGAGTCCCTTACTTTGCAGCTGAGCATTTTTTGACACAGTTCTAAAATGTATTGCATGACTACACATACACATGGTTAAAGACACCAAATCAAACCATAGCAATATTCTCAAAAATCAAAATATCTACCCATACAAGGAATTTTGAGATCTCTAATTGGAAAACCACTTAAAACAAACAGACACAAAGGACATAAAAATTAACATCTCTAGAATTTTCTCTGACTTTAACATGAAAAATGGTCTTCAATGTTTATGTTTTTTAAAGTTATTTGTGTAAACCAAGCAGTTATCTTCAACATCAATTTGACTGGAATTCCTTTCAGTTTCTATATATGGCTGGGCCAAAATCCTTTCTCCCCTCCCTTTTGCTAGTGAGATCTTCCATAGTGAACAGAAGGGAAGTGAGGAAGAGAGACACAAAATCATGGATTCTTGAACAATCTCCTCAAACACAATTTCCTCACTCCTGGGGTGCAGCAGATGTCAAGATAAGGCACATCTCTCACACGTACTTTGGGGGTCAGGATCAGCTACTAAAAAGTATTCTTTTAACACTAAGAAAATAAACCCACAAATATAGATGAATTATATTAAAGGGGTTTAGAATGGCTTTTAACAATTGCCATTTCAAAAGGACTTCTTTTTTTTTATTACTAAGAAAGGATCATTATTGTACAGGGTTATTAGCAATAATATACAGGTATCACTATTTCAGGCATTTCCTTGTAGGTGTCTCTGTGCAACTGAGTATTTGTTACTGCTGGTGATTCAAAATCAGAAGCTAACCTAACCTGTACTACTTGTAATAAAGACATATGAAAAGCAAGATTGACAATAAGAGGTATCATTGAAATTACCGTTTTTTTCAAATGTTAAATACTTCTAATGATGTATTTTGTGACACTAAATAGCTACCCTAACACTGGATGACCCACCTCGTGTAACAGACACAAATTTCTAAAGCTATCACTACTCATATTTTTCCAATTAAGTATGTACATAATTGTTGTCACAGTGTCCACACATCCATTAATATTATACACCCCCCTATAATAATTTCTAGAAAGCATAAATTTCTGAATTTGAAGACTTCATTTCTTTCCTAGGTCTAGATATTCAAAAGTATATTTTTTCTTTCTAGTTACAACAGTTATCTACTAACTTTACATTTCTTATGCAATATTTATGAAATGTTAATATAAACTCAATGTCATGACTTTAACACTTTGTAATATAACCTACACATAGAAGTATCACACTTGCCATGGAACACAGAGAAATTTGCAGTAGGAAACTTTATACCAATCCCTGGCTCAAATCAATTTGCACTTAGACTATTTTTCATCTAGTATCCTTCAAAATATAGTTTATTTACCTTGTAGAGGAATATATACACAAAATATTTAGGATTAAGGATACATTACCATAATCATCATACAAACACAACAAAAAACCCACACAGTTCTATGCCAAAGAAATTACCATCTATTGCCTTGATTCTGCAAGAAGAGTCATATGAACGTTAATGTACATGGAGTCTCAAACATGCAATAAGGTTGCACAGCGGTACCTGTATGCTTATGTAGAATAGGTGACTGAAAATGGGTTTAGTGATATAATTTTGCTTCTCTGGCTCTGTTCTGTCTCTCCTCAGTCAAAATTTAAACATTTCAAATGTAAAAAATAAATTTTACTGGTATACTTGTTACTATGTCTTTATTTTTAAAAAGTATAAAAACAGTTTTAAAAGACAGAAAAGGATTCAGGGTAACATTTTTTGGTTGGATTAACTTCAGGTAAAACATTTAAGAATTTGAGAGGGGAAAACAAGAAATAAAACCTGTACACAGAAAACAAGCTCAAAATGTACAAGGTAATCAAAAGTACAAAATAAAATACAACAAGAAGAAAGTATTTTCCTCTTTCAGTTAAAATAATTGTTACAACTAACATCTTGAGAATAATTAATTTTGTACTTCTACAACATGGACAAAAGAACTACATCCTTCTTTACCAGCTAGCTCTTGTGATAAACAAGGAACAGTATAAACTCCTAACATTAGGGAAAAAGTAGTAAGAAAGTGGCATAGTCCTGCTTCACACACACATACACACACACTTTTAAATGTGCTAAAAAATACAATCTAAACCAAAAATAAGTTATCTTATAAACACTTCCTCATTAAACATTTCTGTATGCTAAATATATTTTTTCTGAGTTAAAGACATTTACAGCTATATAAACTGTGATAAAGCAGCTAATTCAGGATTAATCACATATGGCTCAGAAGAACTAAACCAAAAAAACTCGTTACAGATCACAAATAGACAACATCTTAAATTTCCCTCTACAAATACACCTATTTTTCATACCAAAAAAGTGCATGCTTTCCAATTAAAGAAAAAAAAAAAAGGCACCGTAAATACAGCCGTGGCAAGATAAACTTGACAGGAACTACATAACTACAGTAGCTTATTTCCTGCTCATCTCTGGTATATTTAAAGCGAACTGCCTTACATGAAAAATAAGTCAGAGAAGTTCACTACTGCTAGCTTAACAAACCTATTTTTGTTAAAACGAGAGCTGTTTGAAACAGATAACCAAAGAAACACTAGAGCTAATGTCGCTTCCTGATGATGAAAACTACCCAAGAACTACAACTATTTCTGCACAGTCCTTTCTTTCCTGTAAAGCAGTTACACTCGGCCCCTATAAATGCTACGGACCAAAAGAAAACAGCAATTCGGCTGCTGCACACTGAGATGGGGACAGTTAGAGACAACTAGTGGCTCCCTCTGCAATTCACAAAGTTGAAAAATAAGAAGCTGCTTTTTCGAAGTGTAAATGGTTTCTCTCCACGCACGTAGGCCTGAGGCCCTGTTGCAAACAGTGTCTAACAGGACCAGGCAGCACAAAGACAGGAATGGGAGATTAGTGGGAGGGAGGGAGGCCGGGATTGGGGCTCAGCAGGATCTTCAGGCTTTTTAAAATTCAAACTGCTCCCTGACCAATACAAATCATGGACACGCTACTGACTACTACATGGATTTACAGCATTAAAAACATGCCTTCTACGTGACAGCTATATTAACTTCACCCTTTTAAACATGTATCAGGGCAATCGGAGGCACGATAGCACAGTTTTATTATAAGACTCTAAACACAATACATCAGAAAGTTACTGTACCAGACATATTAACCACTTGTTATTACAACAGATCAGCCTGAACAACTAAAAAACCTGCTGAAAACCAGACAAATTATGTAATGTGGATACCTGTTTGCCATTTACAAATATCCTTTCTATATGAAAGATGAAACTTTGTATCTTAAAATTTCCCTCAATTATGTAATTCATGTAGGAGTATTTTTATTAGTTCACAGGGTGTCTGCTTTAAATCCACCTCAATTTTTAGCAACACTCTCAATTCTACCACTCGTAAGTCTGAGATTTACTTTGCTGTAAATTAGCTACCATTTATTTATAAAGACCTGACACTTAATCAACAGACATTTACAACACATTTGACCTGTTAAAATGACACCTAATTACATATTCAAACATCATGGACACAAACAGCCAATAACAACACCAGGATCTCAAAGTGATATGGTCTGACAAGAAAGGATGATACTTTTTAAGCATTCCTCATTTTTCACTTAATTAAATTTATGTTTGATTCTCAACTACTCTGGGTAAAATCTCATGTTCATCTTGGTCCCTTAAATGTCATAAAGACAGCACTTTACACATGATCCATCTCCCATTTTCTTCTCGTTAGAAGCATAAAATTGTATTTCTTCTGAATTTAGCACATATTCCTGTAACGTATACAGCATACAGACACTGAGATTGTGTGGATTGCCTGATACAATATGCTTGCCTATCTGTATTTCCTGGGTCTGCAGGTGTCCGTGTTGTGTCAACCATGCCACAAGCGCTAGTTTTATGCTATAAATATACTAAGTGATTAACACACTAATCAATCTCTATATAATTTAGAGATTAAACCTCTGCACATTATAAATCCATACGCAGTCGAACTTTAGAATGTTCAGAACGCAGTTGGTTAGCAGAACGTAAGAGCGAAGAGAGGTGGTATTTTTGTTCCTGGATTTACATTGTTTCTCTTTCCCTATTCTCCCACTTACTCCTTCCCCACTTCAGAGGTCTGCCTGCGCTGGGACCTTCCTTCCTTGCCCTAGGTGAAGTTGTAAATATGGCAAATGATCAATGCACATTTGCGGCTAATTGTATTGTTTCCTCCTCCTCCTGCTCCTCTCCGGGTTGAGGCCTGTCACTGAGAAGCCGCTTCGCCTTTCTAATCCCCGAGCTGGAGTAAAGGCGCTGGCCGGCGGGCCTGCGCTCTCCACCGGGCCTGGGCCTCCCGGCAGCCCGGGAGGAACCAATCTCCTCCACCAAACCCAAGCGAGCAGGAAGGGGGGGCTGCGAAATAAACACCTCCGGTTGCCACTTACTCCCTTCTACCCCGGATAACAGCTAATCCCCTCTGCTCCCGGCAGTGCTGGGCCGTCTGGGCTGGGAGGCCCGGCCCGCTGCTGGAGAGGGCAGGGAGAGGAAGGGGAGACAAGGAGGGGGGATTACCTGAGCAAATCGGCGTCTGAATCCAACGAGAATCCGAGAGAGGGGGAGAGAAATCCGCCCCCCTCCCTCCTCAGAGGAGCCGCCGCCGCCGCCGCTGGGCCGCCGCCGCCGCCGCGGAGCAGGAGGAGGAGGGGAGATAATATAACAACAATAATCCGGGCCGGGAGGGGGGCTGGCTCCTCTTCCGTCTCCTCCTCAGTGCAGCGAACATGTAGAGCCGGGGGGTGAGCGGCCGAGACAAATCCTTTCCCCCTGAGACTGCTTCACAACATCAACACGGGCCGGGCCGCGCCGAACCGGTTCCGAGACACACTCCGTGCGGCGGGGGAGCAGGGGGGTGGCCGGGGGGGGGGGCAGCGCTGCCAAGGGGCCGCCACCGCCGCCGCTCCCTGTGTGTGTGCGAGTGCAAGAGGGCGGGGGAGGGGGCAGCCTGGACACGGTGAGTCGGTACCGAGCGGGGAGGGGGGGGTAGGGGGAAGAGGAGGAGGAGGGGGAAGGATCTTGTGTGTGTCTCTCTCGCTCCGTCTCAGAACAAAATGCCGACCGGAAGTGCAGCTGCAGGAATGACTCCCTCCACCGGCGCCAAACACCAACAGCCTCCCCCTTCCCTCCGCTGCCGCCTCCTCTCCCGCTCGCTCCCTCGCTCCGCCAGCGCAGCTTCCGCCGCCGCCGCCACTGCGCGGCCCGGCCCCGCGCCGCTCCCCTTCCAGCGCCGCCGCAGCTGCAGCGACTCACTCCGCCGCGCCGAGCCGCGCCTCGCCTCTCCTGGCGGCGGCGGGCACAGCTGAGTCTCCACTGCGTGGCTCTCTTCCCTTCCCCACCCCTTCGCCTGCCGCCTGAGTTTCTATTTTTTTTTTTTTTTTCACTCCCCCGCCCCTGTTTCTGGGACGCGGAACGAGACCGGAGTTTACGCTGAGGCCTGGGCCGAGAAGAAAGGCAGCCAGCGATTTGTGAAGAAGTGACCGTTGAAAGAACCACGCGATTTCGGCTTTATTTTTGGCTTCCCATAGGATGGTGGGGAGGAGGACTGCAAAATGCCACCTCGCAGGAGGCAGACCTAAAAAGGCGCCTTAAAATGAACACGCAGAGGCAGCAGTGTCCCCCTCCTCCGGGCCCGGCGGTGCGATGTATCAGACCTGGGCCACTCGGTGGAGTTAGTTACCGGTCGGGTCCATCTCTGGGTGTAAAGAGGCCGTGCCGCAGGAACTGAAACACCCGATGCGGAAAGCGCTGCCGGGGCGAGGGATTTACAGGTGGACGTACCGAACTGGAGTGGCTTTTAAAAACAGCCTTTTTGGATGAGCACGGGGGAGAACGCTGGTACTCGGGTGAAGGTTCCTTCTCTGGCGGCTGATGCTCCCCACCACCACATTTACTGGAAACGCCCTAATTGGGGGTTGTGAAGGAGTGTTTGGAGAAAGAATGTCCTAATCTGAAAGATTTTCTCGTGTTCCTCTATACAGGTAAAACTGAATAATCGTAGCAGAGGATAACAGTAAAGAAGCATTTATATCCGATTAATTAACTATGCTTTTTCATACTCACGTCGTTCTGCTCCTGAGTATTTGGACAAGTCTCTCGATTTCTAGAGGAAGCCTTGCTTGTCTGTCGACTTCAGGATTCAGCCATACAGTTGGACACAGCTGTAAATACCCTGTGACATATAAACACACCCTTTCAGCTCTGGATGGATATGATTTGCACAAAGGGATAATACCTTACGCCAGTGCACTTGAATCTTCCCAAGTGTTAGGATTTCCTGAATAATCCTCTTTCATAAAGATTTAAAATGCCTCTCTCGAGCTTAAACAACTATTACATATGTAATGCTGGATGAATCAAAGTTTGTTTTACAAGTGTATGTGGTTTTTGTTTGAAAGTACAGACATGAAGATGGCACTGGAAAATACGGTAATTCACTACTGGAAATACTAATCTCTAAGGCGTACATGCTCATGTAAATTTAGTGGAGTCTGAGTAAACGAGGCTCTGAAAAAAAAATGTACTGCATACCTCTGTCTTAAATTAATATAAGAGGTCCCAATCCTGTTACAGTTTATGCATTTACAACTTCCAAGTTATCCATTTGAAATAAAGGGAAATAATTGGTGTAGTAAATGAAGTGTGTTCATAAGTCTTTGCCCTTAATCTAATACAGTGCAAATCTGTAACTGAAGGGGGAAAATACTGGACTACCTATTTGGAGTTTACATACCTATACGCATGTGGACATATACACCTATGAATTCACAGGAAAATGTAATTCTAAAATAACAGAGTTGACCCAGGAATACTACTTCAATCTACTTCTAACTGATTGTTACCAATCATTGATAGAATCTTTCTGTGATTTTAAAATATTTATTTATTTATATAATGATTTATTTATATAATGATTTTTTTGGTTACTTAGTGTGTAAATAAAGTGTAATTACTGAAGTTTTACTTTTCAAATGCCAAATACGGTTTAGCCAGTACAAACACCATGGTAAGACACAACACTTATTTTGAGTACTGTTTCAGTCAGTATTTTCCAGTGACAATGTCACTGAATCACTCTACGTATTTTAAATCCCACTCAACTATAAGAATTTGTATAAATGGCTCTTTTGCCTAACTACTATGATGTTATTACTTCCACAGGAAAACAACTAACTTAAGTCATTAGCTCTTTTAGAAGGTGGTATAACACATGGCCAAATCTGGATTTTTTTTCCTTAAAGGAAACATTTTTTATTCTGTTAGATACTACTGTAATTCACTTTTTAAAAGGAAAAATCAGATTCCTCATCTGCATTCAGACAAGTGGTTTCTTGTGTGCCTTTTATCTTCAGATGTCCACTCACAGGAATTTATTGCAGAATGGACACTCGCTATGTTCCTAAAAAATACTTCAGTATGCATAGGGTTCACCTCATTATGTCTGAAATGTCCAGAAAAAGAGATAAATCAAGTATTTCTGAATACTACCCGAAAATGTATCAATATACTTTAAACTTCATTTCTGTTCCAGGCCTTAGTCATGGGGGTGGAGGTAGTCCTAATCTGTATGGGAGGAGCTATGCAGTCGTACAACCGTGACTGTGGCACGCTAAAGAGCATATACTGCACTGAACAAAGCTGGTGGCAGTGCAAGGGAGGGCAAAGCTCTCTGAATTCCCCCGATAGATCACACTGATATAGTCCTGAAAACGAACTGCAAATTTAAGGGTGAAGCTTTAGAACCTAATCCTACTCCCTCTGATGTCAAGGGAGAAGGTGCCCTAACAAATGACTGGGCTCCCATAAATCTAAACTATTTGCACAGTTGGTTATCCTGAGACTCGTTCTTCAAAGAGTATTTTAATGCAGCTTCAAAAGGCAGGAATTAAAGACCTTCATGCAGACAGTACTGGTTTAAAAATATATTTCTCAAGCAATTTGCGCAAAATATATGGCAAACTGTAGTTACCTCTCACTGCTGTTTACAACTGTGTACCGAGATAAGCTTTCTAGATATAAAGACAGTATGCTGTGTGTGGGTACACTGTTGAAAACAGTGAAGAGACCTCTTCGCCCTCTTCATTCTGATGTTAACTTCCCTGATCGCTACATGTCGTTATTCAGCTTCATAAATTATGGACAGCATGTAATAGTACAGTGAACATACACCTGGCACCAATGTTTTCTTACAGGTTGCTTGTTGTCATTTGATTTTTTTCTAAAAAACTAATGAAAAATGTATTGTGCTTTCACATTTTTGTCTCATTAAGGCCTGGTATAGTATACAGATACCTGTCATTTTAAGTTGTTAATGGGATGCACAAACATGGTTATATTTTACCTTTTAGTAATTTATAGGTAGTACGTATTTCTGGGAAGATTTTTTAAATAAATGGGATATGTCAGTAAAATAAAACATGATTATTGTATATCTTTTATATTTTTTCAAGAATTGAAAAGAACTTTCCTATAATATTCCTCATTATCTGATTGTAATACAGTAATGCAATCATTAGCTATCATCCTAAATGTAAGTATTCAAATTATTTAGAATCTGGTGTTAAGGCTGGACTACAACAGCGAGCAGGAAGAATGTAATAATGAATACTGTATGACAAGTAATATAAAGTTACATTCTTTGCATTGACTTTAGTTCACAGGAGCAAATAACAGCACCACATAATTAATTCACCAGGGAATACTCATTGTGAGAAGTAAGCAACCTAAATATCAGATGATGCCTCAGTGGCACAGGTAAAATAAAAAGCAAAGGAAGCCTGTGGATTGAGTAGTAAAATATTTGCGTAGTTACTTGCCGTAAGCTTACAACTTGATGGTGACCTGATTTTTTTTTTTTCCTGGTAAGCCAGATGGAGGTAATATTTTTTACCTTCTTCTAATTATTTAGCATTATTTACCAACAAGAGTTCAACATGAAATGAAATAATACTTTTTTTTTTTTTTTTCTAAATGACTAACTTGCACTATCTCTACCAGGTTAAGAATGTGTTTCTGTTTGTATGAAGGCACAGTATGAATTCTATGCCAGTTACATCTTTTAACATGTATACTTGCAACAAAAAGTTCTCTGGGGGAAAAATGTTGCAAGACAAAGCTCTAGTAGTTTCATTTGAATGTTACAGTCAGTTCTTAATATGCAAGGCACTAGGGATTCTGTATAAAGTTAAAAGATAAGGTAAAACATGTAATTTCAACTATAAAACATACAAAATAATAAAATACATTATGTAACAGAAAAAGAGGTCAGTGATAGATTATTCTGCTGGGTAAGTCGACCTGTCCCAGTATTGTTACATTAGGACTGTAAGAACAGACCTAGTAATAGCTGGTTTTGCAGGGAAGTGAAATTATCAGTTACACATAGTCATTGAAAGAAATCTGAAATCTGGCTAAAGATGCTCTTCAGGGTCTTTTTTGTGGATTCATCATTGGTGAGCTTGAGCAAGGAGGCAGGTACCATTCCTGCTATAACTTTAACTTCACACAAATTTATTTTTTTTTTTTTAATTTGAGCCTTATATAACTGTACCCTCTCAAATGTCTTGTTTTGGATAGGCGCTGGGAAAACAACTTTCTGTCATGTTTTATAATAGAGATGTAGAATTGCATGTCTATTACATAAGAAATCCTGTGTAATTTCATCCAATAGCTGTAAGGGTCACTATGGATTATTTTCAGAGGTAAAGATAAATACATTTGGGAAAGCTGTTTGGTTTTTTTTCTCTACTTTTTAAGGTGTAAAGGTAAATCAGTACAACTTCATGGGCCAGCAAGTCAATGTGGACATTCATCTTCTGGCAAAGCACAGAAGTTAAAAATTTGCCTTAAGGACTGTTGTATTCAGCACAAGCTAAAAGCCATACTTTTCTGGATTAAAAAAATCTGAGCACATCATATCATGCTTAAAGTACCTTGCCACTTCATTTTTAATGAACTTGCCAGTAAAAAGATTTAAGACAAAGGTATGATTATCTAAATCATGCATGTCAAAAATTCCTTGGGCTTCTAGTTTTAAAAACTGCTTTAAAAGAATGCATAACTTTCCCATTCTTCAGGTACTGAAGTGTTAACCATCTTAGCCAAAGATTCAATGGCTACATAGACACTAACAAGTTAAACATGCCTGGGACTGTTTACTGGCTTTGAGGCTGGTAGCCACATAATATTTTATGCCTATATTATTAAACCCTTTTATTCTTCGAAACCAGACAGTCACATGCATCTATTGCCCATTGGGAATGGCTCCTGACTCACGCTAACACCCAGACTGTGCCCAGGAATTGTTTGGGAAAGTGCTAGTTGGCATGCTTTTAGCCTGTGCCAAAGTCTGTTTGAACATATTAATACATGATTTTTAGACAAATGATTTCCAATGTCTGTGAATCATTTGTGGTGGTTTCATCTACATTGCATTTTATAGACACACCTAGAGCAGTCTTCGTGCAGTGATTAGCCAAAAGGAAGGTAAGAGGGAACTATGGTCTCCCACCTAGAGATAAATCATGTTCACATTTCCAGTTAATTCATATTTCCAATTAATTATATATTGAAGCAATTCATCACATCTAATTTTTTATCCCAAGACATGACAAAATAAAGTTGATTGAAATTTGGCTATAAAGTTAGCTATTTGTAAATGCCAACACATTTTAGAAAGTCCTATGTGGCGGCTAAAACAACTTTCTAACCTGTAGCAGATGTTCCTTTTTCTTTTAGACATCCTGTGGCCCTTATGAAATGATGCTACAGTGACAACAGAAACAGAAAACACACATTGTGCAATAAAACGAGATAAACACAAGTAACTTTTGCACTCCTTTAAATTACGGCTGTTTACATCAATTTGGAATGAAAATAACTTCTAAAGTGTAATTTATTGATTTTAAGATAAAAACAGAAGAGGAGTAAGGATAAATGAAGCAGCACTGGGTATTTTCTGAATGCTGATTATTCCTCTTACAACTTTTTTCAAAAACAAAAAAAAAGGTTATTCCATTTTATAACTGGACACATGCTGCCAATTTGCATCTGTGTGGCCATAGGGACAAACACCAGTCCGTTTACTTTGTCAGCACTTCAGAAGATGTGTGAGTGCCCCATTAGTGAGCCAGAAAACAGTATTAACTTGTCACAGATTTAATTTCTCACAGACTTGCAATGCCATGCATTCTGAAGCACAAAGCATTTTTTAACTTTTTTAACTTTTGATGGGGACAGTAAGTGGTCCAGAAAATTGAATTGTTGACATGGAGAAGCTGCCTAGGTTTTTACAATGCAATTAAATACAAATAAATGTGTCGGCCTAGGTGGTGTTACTCGGTTGCAACAGGTGAAAAAAGACTGAAAGAATGTACCTTTCAGTAATGGTTAGCATCGAATTCTCAAATAACCATAACCTGAAAATCAAGTTGAAATGATCTACTTATGAAAAATGTCTTTCTGTATCATCATGTTTTTAAATTCTAGTTTTATGTTTAAATTTCTGTATTTGTCCTCCTACTATTTTAAAATACCTACATGACTTCCCTCAGGTTTCCTAAACATCATTAATTCATCGCTGAAGAGAACTGCATAGAAAATCTCGGCCTAAGAAGTATATATTTGGAGAAGTAACAGGATAAGCATGTGTTGTGGTTTGGGCCTGATCGGCAACCAACCCCAGCAGCTAATCACCCTCCCTTCCCCCTCCCCACCTGGGAATGGGGGAAGGGATTAGAGGGGTGAAGGGAGACTTGAAGGCTGAGATAAGAACAGTTTAATAATGGCAATAAAATGACAACAATAACGATGATGGGGGAAAACAAAAAGAGATATATAAACAGGCAATGCACAGTGTAATTGCTCACCACCCGCTGACCAATCCCCAGCCCGTTCCCAGCCAGCGACCCCGAGATACCAAGATCCCACAATCGCAATCCCAGAAGCGAGAGAGAGAGAGAGAGAGAGAGAGAGAGAGAGAGAGAGAGAGAGAGAGAGAGAGAGAGAGAGCCCCTTCCCGACCCCCCTCCTCTATACAGTGAGCATGACGTGCCATGATATGGAATATTTCACGGGCCAGTTTGGGTCAGGTGCTGTGGCCGTGCTCCCTCCCTGCTCCCTGTGCCCTGGCGCACGGGCAGGACATGGGGAGTCGGGGAGTCCTTGAAGTCTCGGCAGCAGCTGAAAACATCAGTGTGCTGTCAGCATTCTTCCCATACCAAACCCAAAGCTAAATCCAAAACACAGCACTCATCTAGTCCCTGAAAAGGAATATTAACTCTATTTCAGCCCAAACTAAGACAGCATGAGCAGTTTAATTCTTAAAAGTTTGTAGATAAGTGGGAATTTTTTTACAAATCTTGACTATAAATGAAGAACACTACTGTGCACAACATTGCTAATTTATGTTTAAATTTATAGTTCTGAGTGACTATTGAACAGTTTGTAGGTGTGCTAACTTTCTCTACTGTATACCCAGTAAAAATTGCATTCAAGTGCAAATACTCATATGGAAGATGATATACTGACTCTCCTTGAAGAGGTTGCAATCTGTATATCTGTGCTTTTGCTAGTGTGTTTTCCATGCAGGGTTCAATTCATTAAGGTAGCCTGTTACCCATAATACTGCTGTTAGATAAAACATATTACAGCTAGTTGTCACAGAGAGTGTTCTTTTAAATCACTGTAAGAGGTAGTTAAAACTTTCTGGAAAAAGAGCAGCCTCCAAGAGAACATGGGTACATGTCACCACCCAAAACAAAAACACATGTGCATGTGGGTGGCACATGTTTTGTTGGTTATTTGAAGATAGTCATGTGTGAAAAAAAAAGATGTAAAATGCCATAGAAACAGATGCAGAGAAGACACAGAAACCCATGCACAGGCCTGAGCAGTCACTGGGCATGTATCTCTAAGAAAAATGGAGCAAGAGAGATTCAAGATGACTATCAATCAAGAACTCAAGACTTTGAGTGAAATTTTCCCAAGGTTTCAGATGAAAAGAACATATGCACTATCTTTATAGAGTTCATGAAAACATCTGATGCCATCATGTATTTTTTCTGACAGAGACAATGCACTAGCCATTCAAAACAAAGCAGTTAAGAATACCTTTCTAATTTTAAAGACAGTTGCCTTCTGAATAGACCCATAAATTACATTAACCTGGCAGCATTCAAAGTATGAATTTTCCTGTCAGGAAAATATATACACATGCATCAAAAAATATTTTTTATACTTTCATTCACTAGCTTTTCTCCTGAACTTACTCATTACTATCATACTTTCCATGGTTCCATTGTTGTTTCTCCTCATTTCCAGACTTAAGTCAGTCTTGTAATTACTCCATGCTACATCTGTGATCACTCTCTTCTAGTCCAAGTGCCTGTTTCTCCTGCATTTCCTTGGACAATATTTATATTTTCTCTGCCATTAGACTGTTTTCCCTAATATTTTGGATTGTTTCCTTCTTACTTGCTCCCAAAGATAGAGGCAACATATAAAAGCCCTCACTTTCCTTCTTTTTCTATTTTGAAAACTGAGAAAAAGACTTTGTATTCCAATATTGTTGATGATTAACTCAAAAACATAACATGGCTTATAGGGGAAGAAGTGTCACATATGTATTTCATAGCCTGTCTGTGAGGCCTTGTTTTGTTATAATGAACACTGTGTTAGGCAGCATTCTGATGACCTTTGTAGTGTTACGAAGTTAGTATAAAACTACATAACTATTGAACATTCAATATCTATCAAACTGATTCTCCTTAGCAGTTACTTACACCTTTTTTCTCCTTTACAGTACTTTAATAATCTTCCCTCCCAACAATAAAAACAAATGTGTATGTTAAAACGAAGATTTTTCTTACCAGGTCTCTACCAGTTTTGCCCTCTTCTAAAAGCAGTTCAGGTATGTCTATATGAGACTTGTTTATGGCTGGTGTTCTTCACATGTAATAGATATAATTTGTCCAGTTCCCCAAAATTTCATTCAAAATGCTATATACTGATGCCAAAATGCCTGAAATAGAAAATTTCACATGTATCTTCAGTGAAATTACAGAGCTGTAATAATCTGGCTATATGAATACAACTACATGTTTAGGTAGCTGTAGAATAGTAGCTAATTATTACCCTTAAGCATGTTTTCATTTGCAGAATTTTAAAGGACAAGTTCTTAGAACTGTGTATCTGAGAAAGAAAAATTATGGTGGTATTAATTTAATAGGTTTCCCCCAGAATACACACTTCCCTTTAATTGAAAAAAAAAAAAAAAAAAAACAAAAAAAAACAAACAAAAAAAACAAAAAAAAAAAAAACAAACAAAAAAAAAACCTACAACTTTTTCTTAAGTAAATGCTATTTTTTGTTACATGTTGGTGTAAAGCTCAAGAAAGGTTCTGGATTGCTAGCTTAGTGCACTGAAGTCCTTATTTAGCCACAAAAGCAAACAGCACAGGAACAATGATTAAAGCAAACTTCCTGGTGCTGTTCCACTCGTGCACATCAGAGGGACCACCATTAAGGTTATAATGTAGCTCAATCTCTTACATCTTTCTCTTGAGTATGTGGACTCTACATGTATACTGTCTTACCACAGTATTACTACTTATACTGCTCAGCTGGTACTTAGGAGTAATTGGGCAGACAAGAAATGTTCATCATACAGAAGAAAATACCATGTTAAAAAAATTAATTTGACTT